ATCCCTCTCACTTTGCGAATCGAATCATGGGGCTGGAAAGTTATCTACTCCCTGTGACTGAATCTGAAAACTCCAGCCGCTCCTTTCAGCAGGGGGCGGCGGGGGGGTGGGGGGGGGGGGGGGGGGGGGGGGGGGGGGGGGGGGGGGGGGGGGGGGGGGGGGGGGGGGGGGGGGAGGACAAGGACCAGTGAATCCTTTCTCAGGGCCCCGGATTCAGCTGCTAGTGATGATGAAGCTAAAACAAAGGCCGTTCTGCAAAAGAGACAGCCAAGGGTCAGGGCAGCAGCCAGTACCACCGGCGAGCGACACACGTCAGCAATCAGACTACTTGCAAAGCATGGGATGTAGGCTGAGCTACCCACCTTCCCTCGGGGGCTGGGGTTAAAAGTGCTGAACAGAAGTCCCGTGTGTGTATTGGAACACAGATTACAGGGAACGCTCTCCACTTTCCCTGGCCTGGTAGATTCCCTGCCAGGGTGAAATGGTATCCTCTGTGAGATGGGGGGGGGGGGATCCACTGTTTGCTCCCAGGCTCCCTGTATCAGAGCATAGCAAGTGCTCAGTCGGTATGTGACGTCCTTACGAAGCCACGTGTTCCTCTTTATGAGAAGCGGAGTGAAACACTTACCTGTGTGTGAGAATTTTATATGCTGTACCCAAGCACCCGGCACTGCGTAACACTTAGTAGATGCTCAGTGAATATCAGCCAGCAGCCGTATTTCTACTGTTACCATTCCTAGGGACCACGGGGGAAGCTGCCTCATGACCATTTGTGGTCACCCCTGGCTAGGCTAAATATAGAGGCAAAGTGCAGAGCTTGTCCAGAGATGACGTATTATAACCACGCAAATTCGCAAGGCAGGGAGAGGCCTCAAGATAAGGGCCCTTGACATTCAAAGTCTAGCGAGGCCCAAATCACCAGCTTCGGTCACGATCCTGGGAGCAGGAAATGAGTGGTGACAGGGAATCCCTGGCATGCATGCTCCTGGCCCCGCTGCTGGGTTCCAGTGCAGGTGTTAAAGGAGGGTCAGGGGTCAGGGGTGACCAAGGCCATCCCACCAGCCCGGCTGCTCTTTCTAAAGCTGGTGAGCTGGGTTCTTCCTTTTCTGGATTCGTTTTACATATTATTATTTATTATTATTATTATTATTATTATTATTATTATTATTATTATTATTTTAGATAGGCTCTCCCTCTATAGACCAAGCTGACTGGAAACTCGTTATGTTGTCTGGGTTGGCCTTAAGTTTGTGGCAATTCTTCTTCTTCAGCCTCCCCAGTGCTAGGGTTACAGGTGTGAAGCATCACGCCCAACCAAGTTTTAATTTTAATATATGCCCTTTAAAAAAAAACCCAAACAGCACAAAAGGGAGGGTGTAAATGGAAAAGTTAACATCCCTCTGTCATCCTAAATCTCCGGGAAGATTTCTTATAAATAATCACTGTTACTTAAGAGAAATATTTACTCACATACAAGGATGGATGCTTATTTTTTTCATAGCTGGAAATCACAAAAATTGTTCTGAACCTTGCTTGTTTTCTTCCCAACTTCTCCAAACTATCTTTTCAAATTAACTTATATAGATTTATTTATTTTTAATAGTTAACCTATAATATACAAGGTAATATAACGGGTGAGATCTCCATGGCGCGGTTAATGTGCTTTTCACTTTCCCAGATTCAATGGGTTGTTGAGTGAGGGCCCAGGGTGATGAGCGGGGGGACCATTCTCTTCCCAGAATTTATCCAGGAATCGAGGATGACCCAAAGTGCTCCCAGCTTTAGCCTGTGATTTCCATACTCGCTGGCTTCTGAAGTCACCCCAGGTGACAACACATGGCCAGTGAATGGGGAAGAGTATGGAGGAGGGTGAGGAGCCTGCTTCCTGTTTTAGAGGCACAGCCACGTCACGGAGACATTAAACACTTTCGCCTCCATTTCCAGTAGACGGGATTTTTTTTTTTTTAATTTAATACTTACATTTCTGTGTGTGTGCTCACGAGGTCACACATACACAAGAGCGCGTAGGTTCCCACAGAGGCCAAAAGAGAGTGCTGGATCCCCCAGAGCTAGAGTTAAAAGCAGTTGGAGCCATCCGATATGAAGGTTGGCATGGAACTGGGGTCCTCTGAAAGGGCAGCAAGTGATCTTAACCTTTGAGCCATCTCTCCAGCCCCCAGTGGTCGGAACTCAAAGGCCCTCTGTGCTGGCTGGTTTTGTGTGTCAACTTGACACAAGCTAGAGTCATCAGAGAGGAAGGAGCCTCAGTTGAGGCAATGCCTCCGTGAGACTCAGCTGTAAGGCATTTTCTCAGTTAGTGATCAACAGGGGAAGGCCCAGCCCACGGTGGATGGTGCCAGCCCTGGGCTGGTGGTCCTGGGTTCTATAAGAAAGCAGTCGGAGCAAGCCAGGGAAAGCAAGCCAGTAAGCAGCATCCCTCCATGACCTCTGCCATCAGCTCCTGCCTCCAGGATCCTACCCTGACTTTCTTCAAAAATGAACAGCAAGATAGAAGCGTAAGTCAGAGAAACCCTTTTCTCCCCAATTGGTACGTTTTCTAGTTTTCCTTGCTCAGCTTGCTCCTTTTCATGACAGATCTTCATGAGAGTGACCACTAATAACTACAGGACAGAGTCTATACTAGGCTGTTTGGAGATTTCCTCTGCCAACGGAAGTAATCCAAAATTCTTCCCTTTAGCCTCAGGCAGACTCTTCAGACAACGGCAAAAGGTAGCCAGCCACATTCTTTACCAATTCAATACCATTTACCAAAATGTCACAAGAATGGTCTCTAGGCGGCATACTAAAATCCTCCTCCTCTGAAACCTCTTGAGCCAGGCTCCCACAGCTCATCAAATCACACTCTTCTTACCACTGTCGCCATGTCCTTCTAGTCTGGCCTATTAAGCAGCGCTTAAAGCATTCAATAACTTTTCTAATCCACAGTCCCAAAGTTCATATCACTCCATTTTCCAAACAAAAACACGGTCAGGCCTATCACAGAAATGCCCAAGTCCCTGGTACCAATTTCTATCTTAATTGGGGTTTCTATTGCTGTGAAGAGACACCATGACCATGGCAACTCGTATAAAGAAAAACATTTCATTGGGGCTGGCTTACCGTTCAGAGTCTTTGTCCTGTATCATCATGACAGGACACGGAAGCATGCAGGCAGACATGGTGCTGGAGAAGGAGCTGAGAGTTCTGCATCTTGTCCCGCAAGCAACAGGAAGCAACTGAGCTAGGCGTAGCTTGAGAATAGGAGACCTCAAAGCCCACAGTGACGCACTTCCTCCAACAAGGCCACACCTACTTCAACAAGGCCACACCTCCTAATAGTGCCACTCCCTATGAGGTTACAGGGGCCAATTACATTCAAAGTACCACACCAGGCCGGGTGATGGTGGCATATGCCTTTAGTCCCAGTACTTAGCAGGCAGAAATTTGTGAGTTGGGGACCAGCCTGGTTTACAGAGTGAGATCCAGGGCTACAAAACACAGGGAAACCCTGCTGTCTAGAAAAAAACAAAAACAAAAACAAACCAAACTACCACAAGCTCATTCTTGAACAGTCCTTGGAATGTTCTAACTGGCCACTGCTTTTTGTCAATGGGACACTAGTACAGAAGAGAAGCACAAAGCTTTGATGGGCATTTAAAAGCATCTGGCACATTGCACCCTAAGATTACATTCTAATTAATCTATGCTTTAGAAGGCTAGTCTGTCTCCTCATTTCCTTCTTGTTCTTTGTCAAAAAGAAGGTTTTTTGTGTTTGTTTTGGCAGCCCTGGAGACAGATCCCAGGACCTCGCTTCTGCTAGGCAAGCATTTTACCACTGAGCTCCCAGCTCACACAGACCTTTTTTTTTTTTTTTTCTTTTATCTTTTTTCTTTTTCGGTTTTTCAAAACAGGGTTTCTCTGTGTTGCCCTGGCTGGAACTCATTCTGTAGCCCAGGCTGGCCTCAACTCACAGAGATCTACCCACCTCTGCCTCCCGAGTGCCTGGATTAGAGGGGTGTGCCTCCACACCCGGCTTCAAGTGTACCTTTTTAAAGCGTGGAAAGATGTTAGCTGGTAAGAATACAGAAACAAGAAAATACAAAGCTGAAGCCATTGCCTCTGATTATATGTCCTGATTCAGGTTTGCTGGAGCTGGGGAGAAAAATCTCCAAATGATGGAGACCTTTGACTCAACACTTTCCAGGACGAGTCCTAGAAAACCTAGTGGTCTGCCATGCTGAAGATTGGAGCCGGTTAGGTAAGCTCTCGGCTACTGAGATATCTCCCAGCCCTGATGCCCTACATCTGTATTTATTTACAAGGGTGCTTATAATAGCCACACGTTATGAGTAAACTATTGGCCCAATGTAAAGAACTGTTGAAATCACTGTTTATGCATAAGGAGTACTATGCAAACATTTAAAATAATTGTACATTTTACACCTGCAAGTATAAAATACTTCCATGATGTGCTTATTTTTAATTCATGTGTAATTAAAAAATGAATCACAGGGGTTGGGGATTTAGCTCAGTGGTAGAGTGCTTGCCTAGCAAGTGCAAGGCCCTGGGTTCAGGCCTCAGCTCTGAAAAAAAGAAAGAAAGAAAGAAAGAAAGAAAGAAAGAAAGAAAGAAAGAAAGAAAGAAAGAAAGAAAGAAAGAAAGAAAGATTAATCACTTGTAGCAAAAAGATGAGAGGACTATACATTCAAGTATTTATAGTTGTATCTGCATGGTGGAAATATGGGTATTTTTCATTTTATACGTCTCTGCCTTTGTCATAGTATTTTATCATTGGGGGAAAACAATTAGGAGAGTAGATAAACGAGATCAGGGCGTAAGTGATTAAAGGCAAATATGTGAGCTGGACATGACCTCCCAGACCCTGCCTGTCGGTTGGGTCTGTCACCAGACACTCAAGTTGCTATCAGGAGCACTTTTCACTGTCAAAGTAGCTGGCCTTTGTCACAGAATTCCGGGTTATAAAGGGAGGGTACAAAGGATCCAGGGCAGTCAGCCCAGCCAGCCCCACTCCTTGGCAGGGTTACTGGGCAGAGGCTCGCCCGGGAGTGGGCTCCACATGGGGAACATCATTCGGGCCCTCGTGGCCTTCATCCCCACCGACCGCTGCCAGAGTTACGTGGTGGGAGACCTCCGGGAGATGCCGCTGGACAGGACGGTGGATCTGAGTGGGAGTCAGCTGCGTCGCTTCCCGCTACACGTGTGCTCCTTCACCGAGCTGGTGAAGCTCTACCTCAGCGACAACCACCTCCACAGCCTGCCTCCAGACCTGGCCCAGCTGCAGAACCTGCAGATCCTGGCCTTGGATTTCAACAACTTCAAAGCCCTTCCCCAGGTGGTGTGTACCTTGAAACAGCTCTGCATCCTCTACCTGGGTAATAACAAACTTTGTGACCTCCCGGATGAGCTCAGCCTGCTCCAGAACCTCCGCACCCTGTGGCTGGAGGCCAACTGCCTCACCCAGCTGCCCGAGGTGGTGTGTGAGCTGAGCCTCCTGAAGACCCTGCATGCGGGTTCCAACGCCTTACGGCTGCTGCCCGGCCAGCTCCGGCGCCTGCGCGAGCTCAGGACCATCTGGCTCTCCGGCAACCAGCTCGCCGACTTCCCCCCTGTGCTTCTGCGCATGCCCTTCCTGGAGGTGATCGACGTGGATCGGAACAGTATCCGCTACTTCCCCAGCCTGGCCCACTTGACTAATCTGAAGCTGGTCATCTACGACCACAACCCTTGCCGAAATGCCCCCAAGGTGGGCAAAGGTGTGCGCCGTGTTGGGAGATGGGCAGATGAGACGCCAGAGCCTGAGCCCAGAAAAGCGAGGCGATACGCACTGGTCCAGGAAGAGAGTCAAGAGCCACCTGCTCCCCTTCTTCCTCCCAGCTCCTGAAGAGCCTCTCAGTTGTAGTAGGCCAGTTTAAGAGGGCGCAATTGTTCTGAAGACAGTCTCATTAGAACGGAAGAGTCCCGGCTCACCCCAAGGCTGATGGAGAGCCAGGTGAGATGTTGTATCTAAAGGGATATTGAGAAGAAAGCATTTCCGGTCCAATGCACCTCTCCTAGGAAGGTGTGGGCTGTTTGTTGGTGGCCTGGAACCCACCCAGAGTGACTGTCGCTCCTGAAGCAGCTTCTTCAAATAAGCTATTTTGAAACACTGAAGAGAAGAAGGGCCAGGGCCCTTTGGCCTCTTCCACTACGCAGAAATGGCTGGTCCTGAGGCTGGTGAGTGCTTCAAATATGATACGTTAAAATAAACAAAAACTATCAAACGCTCAGGTGGTCTGTCTCTAGCACCTCACATTTATCTATTTCTTTGCCATGAATAGTATCAATGTACTGTTAGTAATTTGGCTCCTGAACAGGACACCTCTACCTAGTCAATCTTGATTCAAAGAAAAGAGCTGTTGTTACAAAGATCTCACTTGTCCAGCACCCACTGCAAAGACCAGAGAGGGGCCTCCTGGTGGAGCTGGGCCCCTCCCATCTTCGCAATGGTTCATGCCAGTTCCACTCATTTCCCCTACAAGGTCTGGCCTAAGATCGGCTCAGCTGACTGTCATCTGGAGAGCTAAGCCTTTCTTCCCAATGCAGCCACGCGACTCCGGCAGTGAGTCTGGGCGGCCCTCCGGAGCAGAGCCATGCTTCCAGAGAGTCATACTATGTTAAAGGTAGAACGTAGACATCAGTTCACTTAAGCACTTGAAGCTTGAATTGGAGGTCACAGGGTCGCCTGGAAGTCTCTGTCTTATATGTACACATTCTGGCCTTTTATCACAGTTTGGGTTTTTATTCATAGGGTCTTTTGCCAGTCTACAAACCTAGGTATTTGGGGCATTATTTATGGAAGTATGTAAATTGAGACTATAACAAATACATAAATTCTAAACTAACTGTCAGCAGGTTACCTAATAATCTTTCCAAAACACAAGGACACAAATTGTCATCCTACCTAGACAAACCATCCTGAGCTTTTAGAGCTATGTATGGGAGGATCTGACCTTCACAAGCACAGTTCTGAATCCTTCCAGAAATACTGCTGGCTAAGTCAGAGGCAGTCCCAGAGTATCACATAACCTTGTCACCACCTCCCCATGCAGAGCAACTGCAGCTGAGAGATCAGACCACCAAAGATGCCTCTAATCATTAAATATAGTACGTGTACATCCACAGGGACAGTTTCTTTTTCTATTGAGTCCACCTTTCTACTAGCTTGCTAGAATGCAGGCTTTTTTTTAAGTCTATTCTTATTCAGAGTGATTGAAGCCATATGCTCAGCTGATGCTAAACACCCTTTGCAAACAAGAATTTGCCTCCCAAGCTTCTGCTATAGCAGTTTAGATTGCTTTTTGACCAGTCTGCCCTCTCAGGACGAATAGGCCTATCTTCTCCAGCACAAGCTGCAGCCTTGAGTTGAAGCTAACTGACCTCAGAGTTCTGAGTATGCTAACTGCTCTGCCTCCAACGTTTGGCCTGTAGCCAAACTGTTTTCTTCTAAATCAGGAAGCTTGCAACAAACGCACCTTTGTCAAGCAAGGCTGATTTTGCTGCCTAAAAATGTTTTCACTGAAGGTTTTCCATCACTTTTATGTGGTATTTACATTTCCTTGAACTCTTCTGGTGGTCTGGGAGATGCTAAGATCACCTGTCAGCAAAATAAGCAAGAATGGCTGCAGCACCAAATCTAACTATTTCACCCCTGGAGTCTAAGTCTGGAAACCCCATGGACTGGGGAAATCTCTTGCAGACTGTCCCCCAAATGGGGAAGGAGCTAGTCAAGCTCTTCACTACTGGCCTGCCCTCACTCTTCCAGAACTTTGTATGTAGAATTTTAGTTTTCACAAATAACATGAGTGGTATCAACCCATGCTGGCTAGTTTTCTGTCAACTCAAGCTACAGCGTCATTTGGGAAGAGGGGATCGTCAACAGAGAAAATGCCCTACCAAATTGGCCTGCGGGCAGGCTTGTGGGCTTTTTCTTGATTCATGGTTGATGTGGGAGGACCCAGCTCCCTGGGGAAGGTGCCACCCCTGGGCTGAGGTTCTGGGTGCTGTAAGAAAGCAAAAGGAGCTATGAGAGGAAAGCCAGTCCAGTCAGCAGGGCTCCTCCATGGCTTCTGCCTCAACAGGAATTAACTAATAATGAAGTCAGGAATTTAAACCAAGTTTTGCCTTTATTGTTCATGCTAGGAACTTCAAAGTTCTACAGTGACTGTGATCTACACAAGTTCCCACTTTTAAGGGTGTCAAAATGCACCAAGGGGACTTTAGAGAGATAATAGAAAACCACTGGATGGGTGCATTGGCGGGTTTATCAAGAGTATGACTGAAGAGGATAAAGAACAAAGGCCACCATAATCCAGACACCACCAACAGCAGCAAACTGTGATCCACACAGCTGAGTTCACAAGAAAGGAAAGGATTACTCAAACCCATTAGAATAGCCATGGAAGAAGCAGGGCGCAGATGTCAAAATAGCCACTGGGAAGATGGCTCAGTGGTTAAGGGGGCCAAGTTTGGTTCCCAGTCCTCAAGTCAACCACCTGTAACTTCAGCTCTACTCTGGCTTCCATGGACACTTGCATTCAAATACACATAATGCCTACCCCCAGACACACAGTTAAAAACCGATCTTAAACAACAATGAGAGGGGCTGGAGAAATGGCTCTGCAGTTAAGAGCACTGGCCACTCTGGCCCCTCTTCCAAAGGACCCAGGTTCAATTCCTAGTACCCACATGGCATTTCCTAACTGTCTGTAACTCCAGTTCCAGGATGTGAGATCCTCACAGAGACATACATGCAGACAAAACTCCAATGTACACACAAAATTGGAAGCTGATCTTGCAGTTGAAGCTGCTCTAAGTCTGGAAGAGAACAGATTTCCCCCCCACACACACACATCCTGCCAGCAGCCATGTTACACCAGTAACAATTCACTTCTCATGGACCCGAGTCAGCCACACAAGGCAGGCCAGTGTGGCCTTATTGGATTCTAAAATTTTACGATTTTCCATGCAGTGACACTATCATTGACTCTTTGATGTACCAATTTGTGTTTTCTTTATTCATTTGGGGTTTGGGCTGGGCACCACTCACATCCAGAGGTCTGAGAGCTTGCAAGAGTTGGTTCTCGCCTCCTTCTGCCATGTGGGTTCCAGGGATTAAACTCAGTCCTCCAGCAGTTTGACAGCAAGCACCTTTGCCCACTGAGCCACCCTGCCTGCCCCTAACAGATTCCAGGTATTAAAACACGGATACAGTGGCTAGAGAGATGACGAAGTGACTACTTGCTCTTGCAGAGAACCTGGGTTCAGTTCCCAGCATCCACATAGTCCTCTTCTGACCTCAGGCATCAGGCACATCTCTCTCTCCTCTCCTCTCCTCTCCTCCCCCTCTCCTCTCTCTCTCTCTCTCTCTCCCTCCCTCTCCCTCTCTCCACACACACACACACACAGAGGCTACAGGCTGACATCAAATGCTTCCCTCTAGCTCTGGCTGAACCGGACGCCCACCTATGGACCAGGCTAGCTGTGATTAGCTAAACCCCAGGATCCTACAGATTCTGCTTCTCCAGTGTTGGATTCAGGTCCTCATGCTGAGACAGGCACGTCACTGACTGTGCCACTTCCTAGCCCTCTGACACCAACTCTGAAGGCCCTCTCTCCCCTATGAGGGCATTCTGAGGCTGCCAGAGACAGCCGGGAAACTCCTATGCTTTTGAGCTTTCTTAAATTCTGCGTATGCTGCAATACACTACCTTCCAGATCTATGTCAAATTTAAATTAAACTCAGTATGTATCTATGCTCATTTCCTTTCTCTACCAAAACAGAAACTCTAACAAAATAATCATAATGAAGTTTAAGTAAACCCATTATCTTAAAAGAATGTTACCTATTAGGGCACCAGGGAAAGGTAGACAGTTATATATGACATTTTCAAACTTAACAGAAATTGAAACTTTTAATCTAATGTAAGTTGAAAAGGGTACTCACATAAAATTAAATCAATATTGTATCTTATGGTACTTCTACTCCAAATTAACATGCAGTAAAAGCTATGCATGACTGAGTATATATACAGCCTAGCCACAAAGCCAAAAGACTAATGTATTTATGTTTAACTCTGGGGCATAATCAAGATAATTATTTCATAAAAGATTAAGGTCAATAATTGATTAAGCTGACACAACTCCACACCGAAAACAATCACTTCCATTAAGTAGATTTCCAGTAGGATATATACAAATCAATAAGACATTAAGAGGTAAGTAACTGGATTTTTTATTTTAATACACAGTATGAGAAATGAACTTGTAAATCAACTGAATTGTATGGAAAATGAAATAGCAAATAAATTAGACCCATGTTTAAAACAGAAGGTCAGCTAAATGTTCAAACTTAAGGCTATCACGGACACATCAATTCCATAGTCTTCTTTTAAAGGTTGAATTTCAAATACAATTTTGCTATGAACTGGTCCAGAGATCAACAGCAAATGGGAATGCTTAGCAGGGGTGGTGATCAGGGACACGTTTCCTATAAGGAAAAATCATACAATTAAGAAAAAGTAAAAAAGATCAACCTGTTTTTTTCTTTTTGAGGGCCAGATCTTGCTGTATATATCCTTAAATTAGATGTTAACTTGCAATCCTCCTGCCTCAGTCTCTCAAAGGAATATACTATCTAAGTACTCGAAAAGTTCACCAAATTAGCCAGATGGCATTAAATAAAGCCACAGAGTTCCAACACACAGGGATTCTAGAGAACAACCTACTCAGGACTACTACTGCCAGAGACAAGCTAGAGACTGGGTGGATGTGCCTCAGTATCCAATAATCTCGCCTTGTATCTCTAATTCTCTGGCAATCATAGTGATTGGAGAGAGAACAATCTTTTGCAAAAAGACAGCAGGAATATTAGTGAACTCTTTAAACTTCATATTTCTGTTTGTAAAAAAATATTTAAACAAAGTGTATGTATATATGTATGTGCACATGTGTATACATGTGTATAATACATTTTAGAATTATACAGAGGGGAAATAAAGTGAGTATTTTAAAATTCCTGGCGTGTCAGATTCAGAGAGAGTAAACCAGCTTCCCCAGGGATTCTCAGAAGTTTCAAAATTACAGAATTTTAAACATACTTCCAAAAATCTTCACTTAGCTATTTGGACTCCACAGACACCCACACTTCGCCCAAGGGCCTGCTTCTTTGCTCTCACTTACACGACCCCTCAAACCACAGTCGGCTTCAGATCTCCTCTGTCTCTTCTCA